TACCCCTTCATGAGCATGAGGGGAATAGACTCCCCTTTGTACTATGCATAAATATAACACTATGAGAAACACCAGCTATACATTTTGCCTTACTGTTATTGGCAAGTAACTGAGGTGATGGTAAAGGTTTTCAGAGGCAGGGATGTAAGCTGAGCTTTCAGAGGAAATTTAGTGTGTTTGAATTATATTATTGATTATTTATGATGCAAACCCCTAGTGTATGACACCCTGATCCTAGCAAGTGCAGCGCAGAGATGTGTGCTTTGCTCTGAAGATAAGCTGAAGGTTATCCTGCAGTTTTAGGAACTGCAACATGCAAATACACAGATCCATGTAGCTGTTCTGGCAAAGACAGAAATAGTGGAGTTAAAATATGAGTGTTTGCCAAGTATTAATGGGTTTTCATTAGTACTCCCAAGCTGCTTTCTATAAGACTCAAAGAAAAATAGAAATGCTTGTGTTTGGTCATATCCTCCTGCATATTTTTTTATGTCAAGATGCAAGGTGAAATGTGTAAATCTTTGGTAAATCTAACACGCTGTCTCTGCAAAAAGATGGATATTCAAGCCTCAAAATAATTTTCTCAGTAGAAAACTGCTCTTCACAAGACCCAGAAACATCCACACTTGTGACAGCCACTTTATCATCAAGTCGTGCCGCCTACAGCACACCCACGCAGAGGAGCATCACAGGCCTGACGCACGCGATGGGCACCGTCACCGAGAGCACCAGCGCCCTGCTGCCCGCTGCCCCCCCCAGCACCTCTGTAACCTCCCCAAGTGAAATCTATCACGAGAGGTAAGTTCAGGGCCACGTTTCTCGTTGGCACCAAGTTGGTGGTTTATGACCTGTCTGCCCCATTTCCCGGGGCCCTACGTAGGCTGCGCGCAGGTTGCAAGTTGAAAACATCAATAGGAGACATTAGTAATTAGAAAAGCAGAAGGCAGGGTTATCTCATGTCCATCTGTGGCATGTATCTTTGAACTTGTCTCTCAATCTTCTGGTGCTGGTCTCTCCTGTAGGTCAGATGCCAGAGTCAATAGATGTGGTCCTGTCTGTTTTCCTTTGCTCAGTGTGGAGACAGGACATTAGGAAACATTCGGCTTGAGCAATAACGCTGCTGAATAAGCAGCTGCTACACACTTCACCGCACGCATTATCCAAGTCCTTACAGGCAGCCAGCAACCAGGGTAGTGTTTGGGTGCTCTGTGTTGCATAAGGAGCTATCTGTGGACAAGGTTAATCAAAAGGCTGTGAGCTATTTTGGCCAGTAATTATTCCATGGTGCTTCTCTACATCAAGCCCTGCGGCTCGCCCCAGTGCGAGTGGTTTCCCTGGTGCATTTACCTTCGGTGCTTCCTGTTACGCAGGATGGCTGCGAGCAGCTCTTACACCTTTCACCCCAGCTATGGCCACCATCCAGCACCGGGTGAAGGGATTCGCATAGCTGGAGCAGATGCATAAGATGATGCAGTATCAGTCATAACTGAAGATAAACCACAAAGTCGACAAATCCAGTTCAGTACCCCGAGCTGTCCCTCCACGCACCTCGGAGCTCGCATCTCCCCCAGTGACCCCCATCCTCTCCACCCCCAGCCTCCCTCACACCGTATCTCCCTGCCCTCCACCCAGAAAAAGAAGGGGAGAGCATGTTACCAATCACAAAATATGCTCTTGTATAAAGAGTCAGATTTTGCACTGCTCCCGGCAAAACTCTGTCTGCCTGGGGAGCTCTGATAGCATTTATACCTTTTTTGCAAGGAGATGACACATAGACACCCTCCAACAGCATGAGGGTCTACAACAACTCACAAAGAGTCTGAACCTCGCTTGTGAATTTGTGCAATGAAAATAGCTCGTTTTCCTTTTGGAGGGACTAATTCAGCTGGCGGCATAACCCCCACACGGTAGAACAGAGGCAGCTACAGAAATTACTTCCTCGTAAGGCAAACTCCAGATCAACTGGTTTAATCTCCACTTGACTCTGTTGACTGTTCTCCTTTGATTCAGAGTTTATAACTCTTTTATACTCTTTGGTGTAAAAACAGCAGCCTGCATTAAGGTACTTCAGCCACCCCATAGCTGAATCAAAATCCAACTTAATTCTGATGTTCATCTTTCCAGCTCATCACATGAATCACGTCTGCTCCCAGTTGTGTTACCAGCTCTCATTTTACTGGTTTTCATCACTATCACTATTCTTGCCCTGACCAAAATAAAGCTTCAAAAGGAGATAGGTAAGTTGGCCAGGCAACACCTTTTGGGTTGAGGTTTTTGTTTTGCAATGGCTTTGCTTGTGATTTCCAAGAGCTGGAGTCTGACCCACTGAAGATTTCCACCTCTGGAGACACGCATCCATTTTGCAGCCAGTGCAGCCTGAAAGTGCAACTGTACTCGCAAGCAAGCAATGTCCTAGAGAAGTTGAGAGAAAAAGCAAATGAAGGAAA